TTAAAGTTCAGTTCAGGTTCAGGTTCAAAGATCTGCAAAATTTAAAGTTCAGTTCAGGTTTAATTGAACTTGAACCTAAATCTAAAATGAACTGAACTGAACTTTGGAATACTAGGTCGATATATAACTTATAGATTGAAATATCTGTTATTGGACCTTCTAATGCCACAAATTCAGAAAGATGTTAATAAGAATATGCAATATTTCTTAATTTCCAATGTCCTTGATATTTATAGAGAATTTCACAGATAACAATATAAGAAGATTTATCTATATTATCTTCGTTATAAAGTATAGTAACTGTGATGTGCTTGACAATTTTATATAATTCAATAATTATAATTGCATTCTCTTCATTTCGATCCAGTAACCACACTTCATGTCTATGTGATCTTTCTCTTCAGTTATTACTTTGCAAGTTGTTTGGCAATTCATTAAATACTAAAATATGTTGAATTTTTATTTTTAATATACCATCTACTTTCATGATCACCAAAATTCTACCAACTCTTGTTGATGATTCTCTATAAATTACAAAATCTCTACAATTATATAGTACTATAAATATAAAACAAATAAATGACTAAAGAAATCAGTGAGTTATCGGTTTAGTAAATCAACTAATTTACCTTTATTAATTTGAATCGATGCTTGTCCAAATCATAGTGACTCCTTCCAGATGCCTCCATGCCAAAGCTCTCTATTTTTTTCTACTTGTTAGTCTGGCCTGAAATACATTTGACTAAGTAGTGAAGAGTTATTTAAAGCATACCAAATAATTTCAGTAATAGATAAATAGTACATCTCTTTTGTCTTTCGGGATGTAGATAGTATTTTTTTATCAAAGATATGAATGTATTGTGACCTGATCGAAGGCAATAGTAGTCTCTGTCTATATTTTCTAAATCGTTGAATATTCTTCATGACATCTGTACTTTTGAATTGCGGATGATGAATTATATCCACCAATTTATCATATGCATGTGTAGCTAAACATAAATATATAAGTTCTTTTATTTTATTTTAATTTTTTAACTAATCAAACTTAAAGTTAAACCTACATATATTGTGTTTTTGAATCTAACAGAATATTAATGCCTCAGTAATATTATTAAAAGATGATACAAATTCTCTATTAATAAATAGCATTTGTTCTTTGCTTAAGGGCTTATCAACAATTTTATTAGACCCCTTTTTATTTGTTACACAATTATCAGATTCGTTGCTTATTATTTTACTATTATTAGATCTTTCACTTGAATAATATTCATAATCTAATTCTTCACTTAAAGTATTATCTTTGCTTGAAGTTTTATCACTAATAGATTTTTCACTTGATGCATCATAATTAGACTCTTCGCTCATCATTTTATTAGAGTTTTTGCTTAATACATCATCTATCCATTCATTAATAGTTTCATAACTTTCATTATTATCAAGTTCCATTTCATTATAAGTATTATTAAGAGCATTATATTCGTGTGTATATTTCACCTGGTCTATAAATCAGTTAGATATGTTGCTTTATTAAAAATATATATCTGATTATTACTATTATTTCAATATTTCATAATCTAGTACGTGATGGCATATTTAATTTCTTGCGCAGGTTTCTTATATAATTTTAACAATAGTTAAAAGAAACATAGCGATTGCGAAACATATTAAAGGCCTATTATAAAGAAAAAAAAAAGTCTATTATGAGAAGAATACAAAAACTGTTTTAAAATATTTATATATTGCCAAAGCTATTATTATATATTTTTAACACCATACTTCTCTTAGTATTTTTATTTATTTAATTATTCTCTTTGTCTAGTATATTATTTAGAGATTCTCTCTCACCTTTGATTTTATTTGCAGCAGATTTTTTACAATAAAAACAAAAAAAAACAATTTTTCATCAAAAATAATTATTCAAATAACCAACTTTTTAAGAATCTTTTCTTTTAATCTTCTTAAAATAGAAATAGTCTTATTTTATGTACATAAGTACGTATGTACTAATTTAGATTTTTTAATTTATGCATTTGATTATGATCAGTGATTCTAATCAAACCTTGATGCTTTGAATCTAGGGTACCAGAATATTTATGTATTTTACTATGTATTAATTAATTATTAATTTTAATGCAGTAAATAGTAGATTAAACTGCCATATAAATATAAATAAACTTTTAAAAGAAGCAATTAACAATTAATTTATATTCTTTTTTACTGCCCAAACCAAATAAGTTCTGAAACTTCTAAAAAATGTACAAATGAAAAGTTAACTACAAATACTAATAAATAAGATCGCAAAAAGAAAGAAACTGTTACTTTACCTTTAAATCATTATGACAAACATGCTGATAATTCAAAAAGCAAAAAATTACATACCACAGGTTACAAAGAAAAAGATGCAGCTGCTACTTCACATAAAAACCAGCAAGAAAAAGTTGCTTCTTCATCTTCAAATAATCTTCAAACTATTGATAACATTTTAAATAGTTTCAATGATAGCACTGAAACAAATCATGATGACGAAAATATAAATTATAATAATAAAATTGCAGAGACCGAATTTTCTTAATCTTATATTAGATCTAATAATGATATATTAATCTCTGCACATTCAAGACCTTCAGTAGCAAGAACTACAAGCATTTTTAGTGATGATTTGGTTTCTTCCCATGAAATTACATCTCAATCTCCAATATCTGCACCTTCAAAATTTTCAACACAACGAACTACAAACAATTTTAATGATGACTATATTTCTCCCAATAGAGCTACATCTCGCTCTCTTATATCTGTATCTTCAGGATCATTACTAGCAATAAATTCTGATAATTTATTCAGTTCAGTCAATAACATGCTAAACACATCCAATATTCTATTGGCTTTTAAAGAAATGATGATTTATCAACTATGTCTGTAGCTATATAAAAATCAAAATATTTTACAACTCGCAAATAGCATGAATTTATCTATACAATCTTCAGTTGTAGATAAATCACTCTTTACTTCACAAATATCACCGATTGTATCGC